CGAGATCTCTGTAATGTATGTGATACTGGAGTGATCGGATGATGGTTTCCAGGCAAAAATTGGAATACAGGAAAACTACCGGGCATGTCGGAAGGATTCCCATCTTGGTCATGTTGAGAAGCTGAAGTGTCATTTGACGAATTAGTGCTAGCACATTGATTCTTTACTGACTTTAGCATATTCAATGCAAATTCGATATATATCGGAGTATTTTCCAAAACCTATTAAACATAAACAAAGTATAAGTATAGTTATGTTACCAGGAAAAAAAAAAAAGAAAAGATATTTAAAGTTAATCTTACATCATCTAACACCGAATTCGCCGTGGCGAGCATCTCTGGATTGTCGGCAATAACTTTATGGCATTTTTGAATGACCTGTTCGACCTTTGTCGAAAATTCTTTAAACGATAAATTTGGTTGTTGTTCCTGTTGTTTTTGTTGATTAGATTTCTGCTTAAGATACTCATGACAAAGGGTCGGTTCATGTAGTTCTTGACGTTGCCCCGGTTCTTGTTGCTCCAATGACGGGTGTAACAAGCTAGCAACGTCAAGAAAATCATGAGTTGTTTCGGATTCAACTTCATCGTTATTCGATGTCTCACTCATTTCTTCATCCTTCTTATCTATCGTGACAATTAGTTCATTTTGAGATATAAATCGACCATCACCGGATTCCATATCAAACTCTTCAATCGCGTCATCTTTTTCCTTCTCCTGCTGCACTAAGACAGGTTCTTCACTGATAGTATCAGCCGAACTTTCTGAACTGATTTCCCAGTCGATATTTGGTTGCTCGATTTCGTCTTGAGGCAAGGTTAGTAAAGACGCAGACATTTTGAGGTTACGGAGTTGCAACTTTCACTACTAAAGTTGCAGCTTTTGTAGTATTGACGTAAGTCGTAATATAAGTAGCGGGTATTATAATATGTCGTAGGTTGTAATAGGACGTAACGAACCAAAAAGTATGTACAAGTAATTCAGCGAAGTAAATAAATTTTATAAATTTTAAAATTCCGAGCGGAGACACCTTCCGAATAGTAGACGTAAGTACGTACCCAGATACGTATCAGGTTATGTATCTGGTATACGTTATGACGTACGTATGTACATGCATGACGTACCTATACTTGCCGGCCAAACCCGGACAAATCCCAAACTCCTAAAAAATCATAGACA